ACATTCTTGGACCTCAAGAAAGTGGCTGTCAGTACTTCAGGATTGATCAATTTTCAGATATATCCCATAGTTTGTGAACTCTATAACTTTCCTACAAACTAAATAATACATCCTAATTTGGGTTCTTTTCACCAAAGACATGTAGCAGAATACATCTTGGCCTAAATTTATGAAGAACAATTATTTATTTGCAAACTTTCATAACAGAAACAAAGAAAAAAGTGTTTTTTTTTTTTTTCAAAATTTTTGGTCTTTTTTTTGTTAATTTCGCAAAAAATAAAAAACCCAGTGGTGATTAAATGCCACCAAAAGAAAACTCTAGTTGTGTGAAGAAAATTATAAAGTTTTAGTTTGGGTATAGTGTTGTATGACCGTGCAATTGTCAATTGCGAAGCGCTGAAACCTGAAAAATGGCCTGAGCAGCAAGGGGGTAAAAGTGCCCGGTATGGAAGCAGTTAAGCAGCCAAATTTGCATAGCATCCAAGTATATATTTGTTACATGTTTCCATTAACATAGCATTACTTATGTTAATGAGGGAGAGTGTCAGGACAAATACACTTGAGACTGTACAGAAATTCAAAGAATCAGCAATGACACCTTAGGAACATCTAAAATGTAAAAATATATATATATATTTTTAAGTTATGCTGTGTGAATGGAAATACACAACTAAATAAAATATAGTGGAAATATTTCCATACTGCAAAAGATAAAATATGCTTTAAGGGGTAGTTTACCACTGGTCTATTCAATCTCTGTTTCCACCACCTACTCAGCTTCAAGCAAACATGTAATAGAAAAAATATAAGGCTGCAATAGCATTTCCCTTAAAGAGGTAGTAAACCTCTGCTTTTCATTAAAAAATCCCCTGCAAGATAATGGCATAATGTGCTAGTATGCATTGCGTACTAGCACATTATGAAATACTTACCTTAGAACCAAGCCCTCCAGCAGTGCACTGTCACCACAGACGGCTTCTGTCTTCTCCCCAGTCTTCCTGCCATCTTCCCGGGCTCCAGTCCTTTGAATGGCCAAGACTGTGATGGCATCACTCCCACGCATGCGCACTGGAGTCACGGTTTATGGCACACAGTTCTGAAGGGACGGAACAGGTATGCTGTCCCTGCAGAGTGCATGCGCCAGTGATGCGACCGCCTGCATCCAGTGTGAATATGTCCTAAACACTACAACTTTCAGATATGTGTTTGCTCTCCCAGCTAAGGATCCCATCTTCATCCTTGGAAGTGGTGCTAGCTCCAGGGTACAGCATATCCTATATCACTGGCAGGGCCGCTGTTAGATATCGGGCCCCATACAGCCTACCTGACAGCCCCCCCCCCCATCCCCCCCATACCACCAGAGAAAATATCAAAATATCAAAATTATATTTTTGGTAAAAATACATTAAAACCATTATTAATGGACATAATCCCAACCACATTCCTGTGAAATCTAAATGATAAAACTGTACTGAGTTCATAAATAAAGCTGTGTGTAATTGAGGTCTTGGGGCTCATTCACATGGGTGCTGTGGCCTGTAGAGTGGGAATCAGTGGTTTGTTTTTGTGGCTATCGCCGTTTGCAGGCAACCTATGTTACACTATGGAAATGCTGCAGGTCATAATTTGACAAGCATATGGGTGCAGGTGTACAGCCCTGAACACAGACAGTGAGCATTTAGGGCACTTCTCCACGCCTTCACACCTGTCAGATTAAAACCTGTGTTCATACAGCTGCTGTGTCCCCATAGTGTAACAGGTGGCTCTAGCCACATAAACAACCCACTCATCCATGCTGTACAGGCCAGAGGACCTGTGTGAATGGGGCATTTTTTACTTTTTTTTCCTCAACTCATTAATTTTAATGGGCTGCCTAACATGTGGGAACATGCAAAAATACTGCAGGCATGTTATTGTAAAAGTGTGTTGCACCTAACCGCACAGTAGTGTGGTGCCATGCGTTTTTGTGGCTGTGAATGCTTCTGTGTTTACTAGATGTGTGGAGGTACAATTAAGTATTCATGGTACCTGCGCACATCTGCAAAGGGCATTGCTTTTCTTTGCAGGAAAATGCGTGCTCTTGCATGCACCACAAATGGTGTGAACAAGTCCTAAGGGCCAGTTCACACTATAGAAACAGTCTAGATGTGCTCTGGATCTGTTTTTGCATGCACATTTTTGACATGTTTTTAGTGCATTTACAGTGCTTTTTTTTTTACATGTTCCAGTGCGTTTTTTATGCATTCCAGTTCACTTTTTCCCTCTCTTTTTATTCAATTTAATAAGGGATATGTGTGTTCCAGTGCATTTTTAGTGCATTTTGATGCGTTCCAGTATTTTTTCATGCGTTTTACCGTGTTCCAGTACAGTTCTGTGCAGAAAAAATGCAGCCTGTTCTACTTTTTTATCTGCAACTGGATCTCACTGGAACTGCAAATGCTGATGTGAACTATGATATTGACAACCATATCACTTACTTTCTGTGCATTTTGGATGCAGAAAAAAAAAGCAACTGAAACACATTGTGAATTGTGAAGGCAATCAGACTAGTGGTGAGATACAATTAGGAATCTTATAAAAATGCGAGATCTGAGCTGTAGGTGATAGGAAATGAGACACAATAAAGCGGAGTTCCACCCAAAAGGGGAAGTTCCGCTTTAAGGACTGCTCCCCATTAAGGATTGGCACCTGTGGGGGGTGGGTACCCGAATTTGACAGGTACCCGCTCCCACTTCCGGTCCGAAGGTGATCGGAAATTAAAGGTGTCCTCCCCCCCGTAGTCTTTTGGGACACGTGACAGGTCCCAGAAGACTACAGGACCATTCATGAAGTGCAGTGCTACTCGCGCATGTGCAGTGGGTACCTGGCTGGGAAGCCGCAAGCTATCACAGCCGATTGCCCACACTGAAGATGCTGGCCTCCTGGAATACAGGATGACGGGCTGCGGGGAGACACACCGTGGAACCAAGGGACAGGTAAGTGGCTGTTTTTTAAAAGTAAAAAAAAAGCTACAGTTTTTGTAGCTGTTGACTTTTATATTTGACAGCATGAGTGGAACTTCACTTTAACTAGATCAGTAAATAAATAGTTAAATAAAAAGAGTTGATATATAGATTGATATATAGATTTGCAGAGGGAACAGGTGATGACAGTGGGGGGGGGGGGGGGGGAAGGGGTCAAGTTGTATCAGGAGAGAGGTTTGTAGCAGTGAACAAGAGGATCAGCAGTCTGGGGGAGAGGAGAGAAACAAAGTTGCAATCAAACCTAGTATGTGTATGAATGTAAGTTAGGGACCTTAGATTGTACGCTCCTTGAGGGTTAGGGACTGATGTGAATGTACAATATATATGTAAAGCGCTTCATAAAATTGACAGTACTATATAAGTACCTGAAATAAATAAATAATGTAAACAGAAGGAGACATGAAAGTGTCAGACCTGTGGAGCAGAGCAAGAGCGCCTCTAAACATCACAACACTGAGCCACTGTGTGATAGAAGACAGGAGGCTAACACTGGAATTTTGCAGCTGCAGATGGGCTTGTCAGTTGCCCGGGCCCCCCTCTGCAGCTGATGAGGCCGGGCCCCCAACAGGAACAGGATGGCCGGGGGTACCCCCTTATCAGTGACCCTGATCACAGGGGTACTGAATTAAAATTCACAGAGGTCTGGTCAGAAACAAATTTACAGCAGAGGTCCGAATCATGTTTCCCGTTACATGAAGTGTGAATGGGGCCTAATGCACTGAAGGCAGAGTCAAAATGTTAAGATATAGACCAGGGGTGTCAAACTGGTGGCCCTCCTCCTCCAATTGCTGAAAATTGGCCTGGATTGGACAGGGGTGAAAGTGTCAGGACTTGAAGTGGTTAAGATGGATTAAGATGAATTCAGCCTTAGCCTTTCTTGTTCCTTAACACAAAATATGAATAAGAAATGTCTAGATCGAGGTTTCTGCATGGCTCTGATGACCTACATCTTTAGTAAGCTCTCTCTTACTGTATTCTTTGGTACTACTGAGTCCAGAGTGTGAGGATGTGGTAATCTAAGATTCATTTATTCTCCCCCGCCTACCCACTGCATTCACACTCCTAAGGCTAACCAGTCAATGCTTAGACAGGTTTTTGTTTCTATTCCCACCTCCACATAGCAACCTCATGTGAAACAACTTCATGCTTTGATAAAAGTTGGGGGTTATTAACTAAAGAAGCACTGAGCATTCATTTAGCTTAATGAATTATGTGAAGATATATACTGTATATACAACTGAAATGCCTGGAGACATGCAAGAGGAATTAAAAATGGTTTTAGTTGCACATGATTAGATGAGTGAAGTGAGCACAGATTGAAGTTTAAAGAATAAGTTCACCTTTCGTAACATGTTACATGTTACACCCATATTCCAAGTGTAACATGTAACATCTTAAGATCAGATCAGCACACGATCCTCCCAGATTCCCGCTTTGACAGCTAGCAAGGGATCTTCTCCCCCTCACTAGCTGTCAAATTTTTAAAAAAGTGGTCATGTGGGCCCCATCCACATGGCCATGTCACTCATTCACAGCCATCTGTGAATGAGAGACTACAAGTCCCGACAGCTGTAGCGGCTGTCAGCTTGTAGTCCTCATTGAACTACCACGGTGCTGTGAACCATTGTGGCAGTTCATTCTTTCTTCCTGTCTGTATATTCGTACATCCTGTATGGGCAAGCAGATATATACTGACAGATCTGCAGGAGTCCTGCATGGCACCGGCGATCTGTACAGGTAAAAATAGGATAATGGTCCATTTATCCCTGTTAAATACAAGCAAGAAAAACATATAACCCTACTCTAATGGTACAAAGAAATATAAAGAAATACTGTAGTTTTCGCTCCATAAGATGCACTTTTTCCCCCAAACAAATGGGGGGAACTGTCTGTGCGTTTATATGGAGTGAATATGGAGCGGCCGGCCCGGTATTCCCGCTGCTGCCGTGTTAGAATACCGCTCTTCTGTACAGCAGAACCTGCTCCTCGGTCCTACCTGTTCCTCGGTCCAGCGGTATCCTCAATGTCTTCTCTCCCCGGCACCAGCATCTTTAGCTTAGGCACCCTTGTGACACCTTGTGGCTTCACAGAAGGGTGCCCACTGCGCATGCCGAGAAGCGCTGTACTTTGGGAATGGTCCGGCAGTCCCAGAAGATGGGGAGGGAGGACAACTCCACGGAAGTGGGAGTGGGTACCTGTCAAATTTGGGTACCGGCTCCCCTCCCGTCCGCTTCCCAGAGGTCTGCTGTCTCTGGTCATCTCCTGTACTATGTCCGCAGTCTCTGGTCATCTGCTGTAGTACATCCGCAGTCTCTGGTCATCTCCTGTACTATGTCCGCAGTCTCTGGTCATCTCCTGTACTATGTCCGCAGTCTCTGGTCATCTCCTGTACTGTGTCTGCAGTCTCTGGTCATCTCCTGTACTGTGTCTGCAGTCTCTGGTCACCTCCTGTACTATGTCTGCAGTCTCTGGTCATCTCCTGTATTATGTATGCAGTCTCTGGTCATCTAATGTAGTACATCCACAGTCTCTGGTCATCTCCAGTAGTATATCCACAGTCTCTGGTCATCTCCTGTAGTATATCCACAGTCTATGGTATGGTCCACATCTCCTGTACTATGCCCGCAGTCCTTTGGTTCAGAATATTTTGTTTTCATGTTTTCCTCCTCTAAAAACCTAGGTGCGTCTTATGGTCAGGTGAGTCTTATGGAGCAAAAACTACAGTAATCATAAAATTAATTCTATATCCATTTTATATGAACAATTTTTTTTTTCTGATCAAACATTTTAAGATTTTCTTGAGAGTACATGAGAATAATTTTGTGCATGAAGTTTCTATACAACCCCACCAAGTGCAAACATTTAAGGCAAATCTGTTTAAGGTCTAATATTATCATTATACAGGATTTATATAGCGTCAACAGTTTGCTCAACGCTGTACATAAGTCTATCATACTACTTACAATAGGAAGGTTAAGGATATAAACAAATAAATGTGCCGTCATTTTATTTTTTTTCAATGTATTTCTGTACATAAATGTTATGGTTTTTATGATGAGAGAAAATACAAATTTCACCTTTTTTTATTTAATTACGTATGAAATGTATTTCAGGACTATTCTTATTATTATACTATAATTATTGGTACCATTTACATCTCAGTTGGGGTTTTAGGTCTTTTTTTCTTTTATGTGTTTATAATCTTTTTCTTTTTTAAAGATATTTTTAGTGGATTTACATGAGCTGCTTTACATGAAACAGGCTATTTAGCTCTACAATTTGCCATGGATCATCCATCATGGACCAACGTTTGCAGTTACTCTGTCACTGTGCCAGAAGATGAATGACTTCTGATTGCTATCATTATAGAGTGGTCAAAGAACTAGCATTATATTGCAGGTTACCTATCCTACCTATTTACAGTGCAGCTGAAAAATAATATCTTTTTCACCTACTCTTACCCTAGGTTTACACTTTCCAGTTTGTAGAAACGTACTACAGTTCATTTAACATGACTTCCTATGGATCCAGTTCACATCAATGCTTTTCGAGCTGGGGAGTTTTTTTGAAAGGGTCAGGGACTTTGTTGCCCACAGCAGATTGTGGTTTTGTGCAATAGACTTCAATGGAACTGTACCAAAAATACAAGTGTTGCCTTTTTGCTATATTTTGCTTTTTTTTTGCCAATCTGCCTAACACCAGAGGAGAGAGGTGTGTGTGGTTTTTTTTTTTGTCATGTAATGTTACATTTTGTCCAGTAGATGTCAATGAAGGCATATGTAAAGGATTACAAAATGGAACAAATTGAGAGACCAGAAGTCAAAGCTGTAGAAAATGAAATCATTTTCCTTCATTGTACAAAAAAAAAGCTAACAGAGAGGAGGCTTCATATGTTTGTTAGCACTTCATCAATTTGATTTTGTACTTTGCATATCAACTAAAAAAATGTTCAGTATTGATTTTAAAGGACAAGTTCACCTTTTACACAAAAAATATACATTTTTGCAGGTAAAAAAGTGTGCATTTATTATTTTTGTCTACAGGAGACTGGAAAGCATTGCACGCAGTGATCAGTAGATTGCTGATGCCATGCAAGTCTCCTGCAAACCTGTAAAAAAAATGCTAGCCATACGGGATGTACGAGCAAACAAATATACTGCCAAGAGGCTTCAATGCATTACCACGGCCCTCCACAGCACTGTGGTAGTTCATTAAACACTTCTCCCCGTACTGTCAGTGGGGGGGGGGGGGGGGGGGTGTCAAGCAGCGGCTACATCTATGGCAGCATATTTCATGTTCCACCCTAAAAACAGGTGGAACATGTAACCTGTTCCCAAAGGTGAACTTATCCTTTAACCTCTCTGGCGGTCTGATTACATCAGTATTTCTGTGCTCACAGTGGTACATTGTTTTCAATGGAAATATGTTGTTTTTTTATTGTAGGCCTGTAATTCATAGGAATAACTCACTGAAATTTATCCAAACAAGAGCCTAGTAAACATCCCGGGTACGATAAAATTTGAAACACGAAATCATAATTTATAATATAATAAATAATCATAAAAATAATAATATAATACAAAATTTAATTCAATAATATAATCAAACCAAAAACACTGAAATTTTAAATATAGCAGCGCCAAGTTCGCAAATCACTGAGCAAAGTCGCAGAATCATTTTCAGTGTCTGATGACGAATTTCCCCACAAAATCATTATCACTCAATTCTGCAAGTGGTTCTAATTTACTATTGCTGTTCTCTAGCGGTCTAAAACCGCTTTTAACCTAAAGGGACGCTTTTTGGATGCCATGGACATTTCTCAGTTTCCAGGCAGAAAGAACAGTAAAAATGCAGGCAGGCACAGGACAAAGCAGTAGGGACAAAATGTATGTGAAATGGTTTTGATACAGTAATGTAATACTATGTGATATTAGTGTATTGAGTGAATGTCACATTTTTTAAATTCCCGCTGGTTCCATCCCCCGTACATCACGTACATACCGACGCTCGCAGAGAATGGAACCCGGAAGACGGATGCTGGCATCGATCGGACGACATGGCCAGGGACGCTGCAGGGGGACATCGTGGGACCGCAGGACAAGGTAAGTGCTTGAAGGATCCCAGAGCAACTCTGCTGTGTAATCCCGGGTGCAGCTCGAGGTTACTGCTTCTGGTACTGAAAGTTAACCCGAGCTACACTCGGAAATACAGCCAGGGGGGTTAAAGCGGTGTTAAACAGTGTGGCCAAGCAGTGGGGGAATTGGAATAGAATTCTAGGATGCATCACTAGAGGGGTCACCAGCAGAAGAAAAGAGGTCCCGATTCCCCTACATAGATCTTTAGTGGGAATACTGTGTCCAGTTCTGGAGACCTCACTTACAAAGACATATTGATAAGATAGAATGATTCCTGAAATGGGTAAAAAAAATGGTTAAAGGTCTGGGGGATAAAACATATAAAGAGCAGCTTCAGGAACTTAACATGTACAGTCTGGAGGAAAGAAGGGAAAGAGGAGACATGATTAAAACCGTTAAATACATGAAGGGGGTGAATAAGGTTCAGGAGGGCAGTATTTGCAACATGAAACCAAAATCAAGAATATGGGGTCATGACCTTAAACTAACTTGAGGAAAGTTCAAAACTAATCTCAGAAAGTACTATTTTACTGAAAGAATAGTTGATGCTTGGAATAAACTTCCAGAAGAGGTAGTGAGCCAGTCAACAGTAAATAGCTTCAAACATGCTTGGGACAAGCATAGATCTATACTCAGACAAAAAAGCTAACCAAAAAAAAAAACCCAAACCCCCCCCCCCCCAAAAAAAAAACCCCAAAACAAAACAACAACAACAAAAAAGAAAACGGGCAGACTCGATGGACCACTCAGTCTTTTTCTGCCATCACTTTTCTATGTTTCAATCAGGGGCGGACTGACCATTGGGGAACTTGCCCGAGGGCCTGGGGTGAGTAGGGGGCCCCATGAGATGTCCCTGGTACCTTTCATAGGCTTTTTTGGCTGTGGTTTGAGTGTGGGAGTGGACACAGGGGCCCATGATCCCCTATTGCCCGGGGGCCCCATCAGTTGTCAGTCCACCCCTGGTTTCAATGTTTAAACCCAGAAACAATTGAGTACTGTCCGTGCTACTTTTTTTATTTGCACTAAAAAAACAATTTTGAGGACAAGCTTTTGGGGAGTGTCCCCTTCTTCAGGTCAAAGCAGTACTAATTCATTACATTAAATCACTGGACACCTACTGAGCAACATATCAGACTGGATGTCGCTCCACTTCCTTAAACTGAACCTCTCCAAAACCGAGTTTCTTGTCTTTCCCCCAGCCCGGACACCACCCCCCATTGACTTCTCCGTCACATCCAACAACGCCACCATCAAACCCGCCCTACAGGCCAGAGTACTTGGTGTCATTCTGGACTCCAACCTATCCTTCCAGCCCCAAGTCCAATCTTTAACAAACTCGTGCAGACTCCACCTCCGCAACTTCGCCAAAATACGCACGTTCCTAACCCCAGAAACCACTAAACAGCTCATCCACTCCCTCATCGTATCACAACTCGCCTACTGCAACTCCCTCCTCACTGGCCTGCCTCGCCGCTGGCTATCCCCGCTTCAGTTCATCCTGAATACGGCTGCCAGACTCATTCACCTTTCCAACCGCTCCATCTCCGCCACCCCCCTCTGCCAATCCCTCCACTGGCTTCCGATTGCGCAACGGATCAAATTCAAAATCCTAACACTGCTAACCTGCTGACCTCCTCCACTCTTCCTACCACTCCATCTCCCACAGCTATCTCCTCCTGTACCACTATCCCGTCCCTCCTAGATTGTAAGCTCGAAAGAGCAGGGCCCTCAATCCCCTCATGTTTTGCATTGTATTGGTATTGTTCTGTCACATGTTCTGTCCCCCTTTGTAATGTACAGCGCTGAGCGAACCATTGGCGCTTTATAAATACTGTATAATAATAAGTATAATAATAGTGCAAATAAAAAAAGTATCACGGACAGTACTCAATTGTTTCTGCCGCAAATGCACTAATACGGCTACAATCACCTCAAGCAATGTTTAAACCCAGAACCAATAATGTAATATATTGCACTTTACCAATCCTCAGATGTGATGACTACATTAGTTTACTTTTTTTAGGCTTTTTTTCCCTCTGCTTTCACCTGGTGATCTGGCCAGTAACACACCTCCTGTAGAGGTAACACAGTAACAGACCTCCTTAGAGAGCCTACACTCTGCCTGAAGGAGCGCAGGGGTACTTTTGGACAACAGCGTTGTCAGTCTGGGGGAGGGGAGTATTAGATGGACTAGTAGATACACTAACAAATTCTAGCCAAATTCTAGCTAGCACTTTTTAAGCAGTTACATCAACAGTTTTGTCAGTTTTGTGCTTAAGGTTGTACATAGAT